CTCACTAATTATTATTTTTTTACGCCCCAAAATGATTTTTGGCGGGGGCCGGACTTTGGGTAGTTTGACCCCCTCATGTTCGGCCGGACACCTGAGGGGGGGGGGGGGGGGGGGGGTGGTTTGGAGAGGAGGGTGTGGAGACCCCCCCCCTCACGTTCGGGCCGGTAAACTTGGATACATCTGTATTTGTGGGAGTTGATTGGTAATTGGGAACGTACAAGTTGATTGGCAATTGGGAAGGTACAAAGAGGACAACAAACAAGGGGCTGTGACAAACTGTTTCGTCAGAATTTCACTGACTCATCAGCAGGCTGAACCCTCAACCGTCTGCAGAATCCCCTAACTGATCACACCGTACGTGATAATTCACCGTAAGTTAACCCCGGTTGTGGTTAAGCATCAACGACTGCCCAACAGCTGATACCCCTCTGAGGAGGTGGGCACCAACCACTACACTCATATATATCGTCAAACAGAGCTGCCCGGTAAACCGTAGGCAGAGAGGGAGAAGAGGACAAAGACGAGGTGCTGTGACAGACTGTTTCGTCGGAGTTTCACTGACTCATCAGGAGGCATTCGGGTTTTCATTTTAAATTTGGTAAAGAATTTCGATGTGACCCGGAGGCAAAAGTAGTTCAGTTTACTTTTCTGCATAACGTAGAGTTTTTTTTTTTTTTTGGGCATTCGGGTTTCAGCCGAACGAGTCTCCAACGACGGGCGAACGTTCGGCCGTTCGGGTTCGGCAGTTCGGCCAGACCCGAATGCCGGCTACCCTGGATGTATCAACAAAAATGGTAATAATAAAAGTCAAAAAAAGAAGTACAGATGTATCAGGCAGATGGCGCGTGTAATGCAACCATGTTCCCCTGTTCTCCACCAAGAGACAAACGCGAACAGATCTCTCTGTTATTGACAAAAAGCTGAAAAGAACTTCCACCTCCCCCTCTCCTCCAACACAAAGACAAAATATAACACAAATATATGTTTGACGATATATATCTTAAAACTTAAAAGTTAATACATGACAATAAGTTGAAAAGAACTTTCTCGCTTTCGATTATTCCTGAAGAGCACACAGCCGCTTTCAGAATCAGAGAGGGGAAAAGAAAGAAAAGAAAAAGAAAAGACTTTGCAAAGTCAGAACTGCAAGCACTACACCTCAAAATTGCCAAATGGAAAAAAAAAGCCGGACACAAGTTCTCAGAAGGCAACTTCACCCTCTTGACCGCAATCAGCTATTATCGTTCTCCTCAGCTGGTGTCATGGCCTCGACAAATCTCACGTGAATGCGCAGAACTCCAACCAGAGTCTTGTCGTTAATGTTAAGGACACCACCCTTCTCATCACAGTCCATGAGCTCTTTCAATGGTTTGGCAAGATTGGGTCTCGTCATCTCCTCCAAAACAGGGGGTGCCTGCATATAAAGATTTGATGTCTGATGCGAGATGCTTGGCCGGCTGATCTTATCCTTAAATCGAGGGTCTTTCGGCAACAACTCTATGAACTGCAAAAAATGATATGACAAATGTGCCAGAAAAAACATACAGATGAACAGCATCAAAAATGACAACAAAAACGGGCACAGGAAATGCAAGATACAGGAAAAAGCACAACAAAAATGACAACAGCATCAACAAAATAAAATGGGCACCTAAGCTACCAGAGTGGCCCGGGATCACTTGCCCAGCCGGGTTAAAAAAAAAAAAAAAAAAAAAAAAAAACTTGTTCAGTTTATTTTTCTGCATAACGTAGTTCTTAAAACTTTTTCGTCTTTTTTTTTTCTTCTTTTCTTGGGACCTTCCTGGGTCCTTGCATGGCCGGTCCACCAGGGAAAATAAGGTGACTCGGGCGGCCCGGCTGGTAGCCTAGATGGGCACTCGATGTCCGTCTGCAAAAGGAGACTCATTGTTTGCCTTATCCTTTTTTTTAAAAGAACAAGAAGCAGACGCAGAAGCAGAAGCAGAAGCAGAAGCAGAAGCAGAAGCAGAAGCAGGAGAAGGAGAAGGAGGAGGAGGAGGAGGAGGAGGAGGAGGAGGAGGAGAAGGAGGAGGAGGAGAAGAAGAAGAAGAAGAAGAAGAAGAAGAAGAAGAAGAAGAAGAAGAAGAAGAAGAAGAAGAAGAAGAAGAAGAAGGAGGAGGAGGAGGAGGAGGGGGAGGAGGAGGAGGAGGAGGAGGAGGAGGAGACAGGAAGGAGGAAACAGGAAGGAGGAGGAAGGGGAAAGAAGGAATGACAAAGATGGAAGGAGGAAAACGGAAGGAAGGCAAAGGAAGAAGGAAGAAGGAAAAATGTAG